CCCGATATTCCCTTTCTGCACCCAAAAAACAAAGGCGCTTTTCTTTTTCCAGGCCAAAATGGACAACGAGGTTCTGGGCTACAAGGACCTGGCTGCCATCCCTAAGGATAAAGCGATCCTGGACATTGAGCGCCCCGACCTGATGATCTATGAACCCCATTTCACCTATTCGCTCATGGAGCACGTGGAGCTGCCCCGGAGCCGAGAGGTGAGGGGGTCCCAGGTTGTTCTGGGGGGTCAGGGTATGGACCCCCCCCCGATAGTGGGGTCCCATAGGGCAGATGGCTGGAATAAATCACTGCTTGCTCTCCGCAGCGCTCCCTGTCTCCCAAATCCATCTCTCCTCCTCCGTCTCCGGAGGTGAGTACTGACACGTTGGGGTGGACGGGGGGCTCCAAGGAGGGGGTGATGCTGAATTACCACCCACCCCCCCACCCCCCGCCCGCAGGTCATCCGGGAATGGCTGGAGAGCCGGACCCCCAGCAGCACCCCACAGCCCCCCTCGCGCCAGGGCGGCAGCTCGGCCCGCAGCAGCGTGCAGCACTTCCACAGACCCGGTACGAGCCCCGGCACCGGGACACACAGAGAGACCCAGGGGGTCCTGGTGAGCCCCTCGGGGCCAGGCTGAGAGAGATGGGCTGGGGCAGCCTGGGGAAGAGAAGGCTCCTGAAGGGGAGACCTGAGAGCAGCTCCGGTGCCTGAAGGGGCTGCAGGAAACCTGGAGAGGGGCTTTGGGATGTAAGGAATATAGGGACAGGCCAAGGGGAATGGCTTTAACCTGCCCGAGGGGAGACTGAGATGAGCTCTCAGGCAGAAGCTCTTCCCTGGGAGGGTGCTGAGGCGCTGGCACAGGGTGCCCAGAGAAGCTGTGGCTGCCCCATCCCTGGCAGTGCTCAAGGCCAGGTTGGACACAGGGGCTTGGAGCACCCTGCTCCAGTGGAAGGGGTCCCTGCCCGTGGCAGGGGTTGGAGCTGGAGGAGCTCCGAGGTCCCTTCCAACCCAAACCAGGCTGGGATTCCATGATTCTATTCCTGGCCCCAAACCCCCTTTTTCCTTGCAGAGACCGACACAACAGAGCTCAACATATACAAGAAGCCTCCAATCTACAGGCAGAAAGGTGAGCTGGGGGGGGTCTGTGCCACGGGATGGAGCACCCATGGGCGCTGCCTGACCCTCCCTGTGCCCCGCAGAGCACCACTCCAGCGCCCACCATGGGAAGCATCTCATAGAGGATCTGATCATTGAATCCTCCAAGTTCCCTGCGGCGCAGCCCCCGGATCCCAACCAGCCTGCCAAGATCGAGACCGACTACTGGCCATGCCCCCCATCCCTGGCTGTAGTGGGTAGGTGGGGAGCAGGGATAGGGAAGGGAATGGGCTGCACCTGGGCCTGTATCCCCCCCCAAAGTCTCCATGGGGATGCTGAGGATGGGTATAACATCCCATCTCCCCGCAGAGACAGAGTGGAGGAGGAGGATGGCCTCCAAGAGAGGGGAGGAGGAAGAGGAGGACCTGACAGAGGAGATGAAGAACCTGCGGGAGCTCCAGAGGCAGGAGCTGAGCAAGGTGAGAGGCAAGGACAACCGGGTGGGTGCCCTGTGAGAGGCTGGGGCTGTGCTGACATTGCCCCCCCGCCCGTGCCCCTTTGCCCCTAGATCACCTCCAACCTCGGGAAGCTGATCCTGAAGGAGGAGATGGAGAAATCGCTTCCCATCCGGAGGAAAACCCGCTCGCTGCCGGACCGGACGCCTTTCCACACATGTAAGTGGGATGATGCTCTTCCCACAGCCCCCCCTGGGGCTGCCTGCACCCTGCCAGGCCCCACAGCCCTGCCTGCACCTCTGCGATCTCCTGTTCTCTTGCAGCTCTGCACACGGGGGGCTGCAAGAGCTCCTCGCTGCCCGCCTCTGGCAGGAGCACCCTCACCCGGGTGAGTGCGCGCAGCTCCCGTGCTGCACCTCCACGGATGGGCTCTGGGTGGCATCACCCTGATCCCGTCTTGTCCCCTTCCAGCTGCAGTCGGCAGAGTTCAGCTCAGCAGGCAGCGAGAAGAGCAGCCCTGGTGAGCATCAGGGGGTGTGGGAGATGTCCCACGGGATGAGGGATGCTGGGGCTCTGCGGAGGGTGGAAAACCACTGCTTGGGGCTCGGCATCACCCGGGGGGGGGACACAGCGGGGGAGGGCCGGGGCTGAGTCCTTCTCCTCTGTTTTCCAGGCCTGCAGGTAAGCGCTCATCCGGATGCTGATGGAGACCCAGTGAGAGGGTGATGTACACAGGGGGGACATGGACACCCCAGGGTGTGTCCCAGGGGAAAGGGGAGAGCTGGGAGGGGAAAGGTTGGGTTTCCAGTCCCCAGGCTGGAGCCCATCACCTTGGCTTCAGTTCAGGTGGGAAAGTCCAGCCCTTTGGGGAGGTCTGACACCAGGTTTGTCCCCCCCCCCAGAATGGCCAGCGTGGACGCATGGATAGAGGCAATTCCCTGCCCAGCATGCTGGAGCAAAAGGTGAGTGGGGCTTGGGGACATGAGGGGGTACGGGGGGGGTCTTAGAGCCTTGGGTTTGGGGGAGGTGGACTGTGGAAGGAGTCTGACATCCCCCCCATCCTGCAGATCTACCCCTATGAGATGCTGATGGTGACAAACAGAGGCCGTGTGAAGCTGCCCCCCGGCGTGGACAGGACCAGGCTGGAGGTAGGGGCTGAGCTGGCCTCTGGGGGGGGCACCCACAGGAGGGGGGGACCCTTCACCCCATCATCCTCCTCCTCTCCCCCTGCACAGCGTCACCTCTCCCCTGAGGATTTCCTGCGGGTCTTCGAGATGCCCCCCGAGGAGTTCAGCAAACTGGCCCTGTGGAAGCGCAACGAGCTCAAGAAGAAAGCCTTCCTCTTCTGAGCCCTGCCTCCTCTTCTGAGCCCTCCTTCCCCTCCGGAGCCCGCCTGGCCCAGCGCTCAGCCCGTGTCGTGCCCTGTGACCGCTTTAGGGCTCTCAGCCGGTTTTTATTAGGACCCCCCCCCCACTTCCCGTCTCCATCAACCCCTTCCCCACACCCACACCCCCCCGCGGGATAGCGGGATAAGGGCTCGGGGGGCTCCCTGCGGGGCGATGGGGCTGGGGGCTGTCCTGGAGCAGGCACGGTTCAGCCCGGAGGGGAGGTCTGGGGGGCTCTCTGTGCTTTGTGCCCCCTATTTCTGCCCCCGGGCACGCTGGCAGGGCAGTGCCTGGCTCTGGTTTTGCCCAGGATGTGTCAGCTCCATTGGGCTCCCCCCCCCCCAGTGCCTCCAGCCCCTTTGCCCCCCACACTTTCACCCCAAGACTTGGGAAGAGCCTGGGGGGGGCGACTCACTGCCAGACCCATGTGCTCCCGGCAATGCCAGGCTGGCATCCCACCCTGCCCCGCTCCAGACCCTCTTTACCATCACTCCTCCTGTGCCGGGACACACACGCTGCCAGACCCTGCCCAGCACCGCACCGGTGGGTGCTGGTGATGTGGAGCACGGTGGGATGGGGCAGGGGGTGGCAGAGCTGGGGTCCTGGTACGGAATCTCCTGCTGCATCTCCACCTGCAGGAGACGCACTGGGGATGCAGCAGGACAAGGGGGTGATGCAGCTCTGCCTGGTCCCCCCATGGCACCGGGCAGCACCGTCCCTTCTCACACCTCTCCCATCCCCTTTGGGCACACGTTTTGGGCAGGACCCCTCTGCCCCCTGCACCCTCTATCCCCCCACGCTCCCTGTTTTCTGTTTCCAGCCACTTTTCCAGCCGCTAGACCTTGTTGGGATGTAAAGAATGTAATTTATCGGGGAACCACTCGCCCATACTTGCCTTTCACTGCTACAAACGACATATCTATAAATATATATATAAATATGGGTTGTTTTCTGACTGACTTACAGTGATTCACTTTCTGTTCTGTTAGAATTTGATTTCGCTGGTGTCGGAGAATCCGCGTGAGTTTTTGCTGACAATTAAAGGTGAAATGGCTTTATCCGGCTCCGGTGCTTTGCTTTCGCCTTCTCCCCCTTCCCTGCTCCCTGCAGATGGCGATGGTGCTCCGGGAAGGATGCGGAGCCCTTCCCCGCCTTCCCCCCGCCCTGCCCGGGCTGTGCTGGGGGCCCGGAGGGTGTGTGCGAGCCGAGCCGGGTCCCCGCTGCCCCGGTCCCGGTCCCGGTGCGCGATGTGAGCACCATGGCCCGGCAGAGAGGTACGGGGGGCACAAAGAGCCGGGGGGGCTTTAAAGCCTGCAAAGGGGTGAAGGAGAAGGCAGAGGTGAAGCTGGGTAGGGTGTCCTGGGGGGGAGTTGTGTAAATGGGGGGTGAATGTGTGTAAATGGGGGGTGAATGTGTGTAAATGGGGGGTGAATGTGTGTAAATGGGGGGTGAAAGGGGGTGCACGGGAAGGAGGAAAAGGGGGGAGTTAGGGTGATGGGGATATGCGTGGAGCTGTGGGGAGGGAAGGGGTGGAGGGGGTAGGGTGTGGGTGACAGGGCTGGGGACCCCCAAACATAGGGCAGGGGAGTGGGGGCCAGCAGCCTCCATGGGGTGATCTGGGGGCGCAGCAGCCATGGCCTGGAGCCTCCCCACATGATGGGTCACGCTGCGGCCAGGAGCAGCTCCGGAGTTGGGGCCTCCAACCTCCTCCTCTGACTCATCCCACGTTGAGCCAGAGCCACCCCGAGTGCTGGAGCGGGGCCTTGGGGTGCCCCTGAGCTGCTGCACCCCACGGGAGTGGGGCTGAGCCTCACTGCACAGAGCAAAATGTACTTGGCCATAGGGTAGAGATGCCAGCCCTGACTCCCGTGGGTGCTGGCATCACCCAGGCATCCCTGCTCGCATGGCATCCCTTTGGACAGCCTTCCTCCTCTTCCTCCGCAGATGATGAGGATGCCAGGGGGTTGGGCCCTTCCCATGGGAGCGGGTGCTTTGCCAGGAGGTGGTTGTGTGTTCGGGGGGTGTTTTCCTTCCTCCCTGCAGATGGTTTTCGTTGGGGCTGCCTTCCCTTGGCACCCTGGGTCATACCGGGGTGAGGGCAGCCCCTGCCTGCCCCACAGCGGGCTGGGGGCCCGGCACAGCGCCCCTGCCCCACTGCTGGGGGAGAGGATGGAGGGAGGGCTGAGGGGTGAGTGGACACAGATGTCATTGCCCAGGAATTCAGCCTGGGTGGAGGAGAGGAGAAAGGGAGGGAGAGGAAGAACCAGGCACATCGGGCATGGGGGACAGCGCCTGTGCCCCCCCCCCCCCCGTGCTCATCGGTCCCTGCCCATGGGGGGGGCAACCCCTGCCCAGCTGCCCCCCCCCCCCCAACCCCCCCAAGGAGCCGTTTCCCCCCTCCCCTTCCCCCGTTTCCAGGGAAATCCAGATGTTTGGGCCCAGCTCCGGCATTGCTCAGCCTCCTGCCAGATGTTTCCTCTCCCTCCGGGCAGGGGTGTGTGCTCCTCGCTGGGGACACCGGGAGGGGGACAGCGCTCCCCCAAGCCAGCACCTCCACAGGGGCTTCTCCCGCATCCCGCACGGAGGGGCTGTCCCTGTTCCCGCTGGGAATTGGCAGGGGGAGGCCGGGAGCAGGGAGAGCAGTGGGCTTGCAGCGGGTCTGTGCAGTGATGCAAACCGCTTCCGGAGGCTCGCAGGAAGGAGCTGGGGGTCAGGCAGAGACCCTGGGGGCATCTGCCTGCTCCTGGGGCAGCAGCCCAGGGCTATGGGTGTGCGAGGTCCTGCTCTGCCCCACATTTCCCCACGCCTGAAGGGACCCAGAGCTAGCACTGATTGGGGCTGGGCCCTCAACCCATCGCCCTCTGGCTCTCCCTACTTCGGGGCTCATGGGGCTGAGGCAGCGCTGTCCCATCCCATGGGAATCCCATATTCCCCACCCAGGGTGAGGGAGCACAAAGCAGCTCCTTGTGCCACTCCATCCCTCCTTCCTGGCACAGCAGGGTCGGGGTCTCCAGCCAGCGCTGAGTCCCAGCCCTGCTCCCTGCCCTTGGGAATGCTCAGCGTTTCTGGCCTTCATCAGCTGCTCCCATAGGCTATTCCTCCCCCTCTTCCTCCTCCTCCACATGGAGGAGCAGCACATTGGGCTTCCCAGCGCAGCCCCTGGCCCCGGTTCCCCTCGCCCAGCCGGGAACAAACCCGCTCTGTGAGCACAAACAGAGCATCCTTCATCACCATGGGTCACTGTTCCCCTTCCTCATCCTCCCCCGGCACCCTGGGCTGGTCAATAGTGGGATTGTGTGAAGCAAGAGCACGCAGCCCCACACTGGAGAGCGCCTGTCGTTGATGAGCATCCTGCCTGCACCCTGCTGCGGTGGGCTGTCGATGGCACATCCCTGTGTCCTGCAGACCTGGACAAGCTGCTGTCGGACCTGCGGTCCTTCCTGCTCATCCTGGACCGGGAAAGCCTCAGCTCCGTGGCTCGGGATAAGAAGAAGTCGGTGGCTGAGCTCCTGTCGCGGCTGCAGAGCCCCTCGAGTGAGCGTGGAGATGCAGAGTACATGATCATGCGCTGCCTCTCACCGTCCCCACAGGGCCAGCCCAGCCCTGGTGAGTCCACGCTCTGACCCACACCCCATCTCCTCCAGACCCTCATTCCCAGGATTCCGGGCTCCTCAACTCGCGCACAACGCTGCTTTCCCCCCAGGAGCCAGGAGGATGGATGCAACAGGAGGAAGAACCTGTGAGTGCCACACAACCGGGACCCTGAGCCCGCACGGAGGGGTAAGCGTGGAGGGGCTGCATGGTGATGGGAGATGGGCACCCAGTGACCAACCCCACATTGCAACCTTGCTCACACGGGGGTCTGGTCACGCTGGGAAGGCTCCAGTGCTGCTGCCATCTCCTTTGGGGACGTGTGGCTCCCCCCAGGGACACCACCTTTGGAGCACCCCTTTTTTCCCCAGAGCAAGGTCCCTGGTGTCTCACAGTCCCCACCAGCCGATGACTCCTATGAAGATGCTGAACCCCTCGGTCCCAGCCGCTGCTCCGGTGAGCACCACAACGCATCCCCTCCCCGTCACCCGCACACACCCAGCACCCTGGTGCCAGCCCGGCTCTCAGGCGGTGCCGACACCGACAGCAGCCACTACGAGTCGTACGAGGAGGATGAGGAGGGTGTGAAGGACCGTGCCCACTACCTGCGACGGCCGCCGGGCACCGGCCGCGATGCTGAGCCCAGCGGGCGCCCCGAGGCGCAGCTCTGCGGCTTCCTCTGGAGGAAGCGCTGGCTGGGGCAGTGGGCGAAGCAGCTCTTCATCGTCCGCGAGCATGTGCTGCTGGTGAGCGGCCGGCGAGGCTGGGTGAAGGCTGGGAATGGGGCCCGGCGGGTCCCTGAGCTCCGCTCTGCCCCTGCAGTGCTTCAGGTACGCCGCCGACCCGCAGCCGGTGCTGGAGCTGGACCTGCGGGGCTGCCACGTCACCTGTAAGGCCAAGCAAGGCAGGAAGATGCCACACACCCTGAAGGTGACGGGGACAGCGGGAGAGGTGCTCGTCATCGGCTTCCAGAGCCGGCAGCAGGCTGAGGACTGGAGGAAGGTTTGGAGGTGTTGCAGCCTGGCAGAGCTCTGCATGGGCAGGAGGGAGGGGTGGGCAGGGAGAAATGAGGCACAGCCTCATGGGGTGCTGCCGAGGTGGCTGGGGATGTCCCCATCCATCCCCACGCTGCCTGGAGCATGGTTCAATGGAGATCAGGCATTTGGGGGTGCAGTGCTCCCCTTCTCCTTTGGTAGGTGATTGAAGAGGTCAGCAGCAATGCCCCGGGAGGGCTGGCATCTATCAGCACCCCATCACCACCATCCTCCAGGCTCAGCAGGGTGAGCTGCCTGTTCTCCCATGGGAAACCCAGGCATGGGAAGGGGGATGCAGAGAATTCACCCCAAATCCCATCCCGCCATCCCCACTGTCTGATGCTGGAGGGGGGGGGTTCACTGCCATGGGGTGGGGGTGAGAGTGCTTAAGGCCTGCAGGGATTGGGGCTCCTTGGATCATCATCCTCAGGCTGGCAAGGAGGAAGAGGAGGATTGCTCGCGGCAGAGCCATGCCCGCAGCCCGCGGGCTGGAGAAGACGCCAAAGGAGGTGCGATGCTGAAGGGCAGCGGGCCGGGGGTGTCTCTGGCTCGGTGCTGACGGGGGGATGCCCCCGCAGGGTTCCTGTCGGTGCGGCTACGCGGGCGCTGGCAGCGGCTGTGGTGTGCGGTGCGGCAGGGAGTCCTGCGCATGGTCCCGGAGCCCGGCAGCGCCCAGCACCCCGGCTGCGCCCTGCGCCTGGAGGGATGCGAGGTGACCCCCGGCACCGCCACCGGCTCCCCTCAGCGCCTCCGCATCCGCATCGCCCAGCGCGGCCGGGAGCTCGCCCTGCTGCAGGTGAGCAGCCGCTGCCGCATCCCGCATCCCGCACCCGGCCCCCGCTGACCCCGGCCCCTCTGCCCCGCGCCAGACGCGTTCGGATGAGGAGAGGGAAGCCTGGTTGAAGACCCTGCAGGCCAGGGGAGGAGCTGAACCAGCCAGCAACAGTCCCCACGATGAGAAGCCCAGGCTGGGCAATGCCAGCAGCTGCCCTGCTGCAGGGTAAGGGGGCACCGGCCAGGATCCCAGCCCTCCTGCTCCGTTATGGGGATGCAGGTGACAATGGGACCCCTGTCCTGCTTGCAGCGGGCTGCTCCAGCGCCGTGTCCCGACACCCAACGCCTACATGGATGATCCCTTCGGGCAGCTCCCACCAGCTGAGGCTCCCAAGTATCTCTACTCCAACATGGAGCGGCTGCAGCAGCTGGTAACCACCGTTTGCCCCTGCAGCAGGCCCCAGGGTGAAGGGGATGGGCTCCCACCACCCATCGGCTTCCTTCCACAGCAGCAGAACTTGGACCGAGCAGTGCAAGGGCAGCGCAGGAGACCTGTATCTGCGCTGCCCATGGGTGCCTGCAGCAGCACTCTGCATGCAGGTGAGCAGGGCCTGGGTGCTCCATGCCAGGCGCAAGGGGCCCCCCCCATGAACCCCAGACCCGTGTGCTGGGATGGAGGCTGAGGTGCCCCCAAGCACGGTGTTGTGCCATGATTCCTCTGCCTTTCCTTCTGGGCATCCTTGCTCCTGGGCATCCTTGCTCCTGGGCATCCTTCCTCCCCAGCACCAGCAGCAGCTCTCCGGAGCAGGGCTGCCAGCCCGCAGTGGGTGAAGGTGAGCTCCGATCTCTGGAGCAAGGATCTCTCCCAGTCCCAGCGCACCCTGACGCTGCCTGAGAGGAAAGGAACTCGGGATGGGCTGGATATCCTCATCGGTAGGGCCGCAGAGGGTCTCTGCTCCTGTGCAGGGTGGGCCTTGTCCTTCCCCAAGGCTGATGGGGTCGAGAGGTGCCCGGGCTTGGCAGTGCCACCGTGTCCTTGCAGGGAAAAGAGCCTTCCCGAAGCTGGAGGAGAAGGTGGGGCAGCTGGAGAGAGCCTGCCGCATGAAGGGCAGGCTGAAGGCTGGCTCCGAGATGAACCTGCTGGCCATCGGCACGTCCCTGAAGGGCCGCATCGCTGCCACCAGCGGCTCGGCTGGCTCCGAGGTGGGGACGCTGGGGAGGGCAGGGGATGCAGGGAGCAGGGGGGGCCGGGGGCAGGCGTTGCCCTCTCTCCGCTCCACTTTTGCAGCAGGGCTCGTTCCTCACGCCGCTGCTGAAGCGCACGGCATCGGCCAGGAGCGCCCTGAGGCCGTCACCACCCTCCCCGCTCATGGTGGAGAGGGGAAATGTGCTGCAGAAGAGAAAGGTACCGGCGGGGCCCTATGGGAGGGCAGAGCTGGGGTGAGCCGGGTACCACCCGTGACACCGGGGGATAACCGCCCCTCTCGGGTGCCCTCCAGGAGTGGGAGATGAAGTCTGTGATGTGATCGGCACCGCAGCAGCTTCGGGGCACCCCTCAACTGAACGGAGGCTGCACGTGGACCGTGCAGGACCCGCCTGGTGCCTGGTTTTAACCATCAATATCAACGCTACAACTACGCACATCTATTTTTTATATATATATATATACACATATAAATTGTCCATCCGTGGGTCTGAGTATCCCTGGAATGGCTGGAGGGGGGTGAGCCCCTCACAGCGTCACCCCCTTCTCACCCATCCCAAAACCTTGGTTTTAGGGCACAAATTTCCCCATTGCAACCTCACGAGCTGCTGGTTCTGTCCCTAATGTGGGTCCAGAGCATCAGCAGCAGAGACCCTGGTCACGAGGCGGGATGTGGATACACCCCGGTCCAAGCATCCAGGGGACACACACAGAGTGATGGGGGGTGCTTGAGGCACTTAACTGCACCTTCCTGGAGCCGGCAGGACCCAGGCTGGGCCCTGGGCTGCTCCCCAGCGCTGTGCTCGTCACGGCTCGGGGTCCATTGCGGATAATGCGGGGTTTAAGGATTAAAATGACAATAATAATAATTAGTCCTAAAAGTTGGCTTGTTCCGGGCTGTGCTGGGGAGAGAGGAGCTGGGGAAGTGTATGGGGGGGCAGGGTGGGTCACCGTCCCAGGGCGAGGTGCTCCTAGGGGGATACCCCTATCCCGGTGCGAGCTGTTCGGGGGCGCTGTGCCCGTCCTACGGGGGCCCAGGGCCGCCCCCGCTGCACTTTCAGCGCTGTGGGACCTTTCAAACCCCTCCCTCCCCAAACCCCGCCCCATCCCCATCCCTCCGGCTCCGGCGCCGCCGGGGGAGGTCCCGTCCAGGCCGCCCTCCGCTGTCCTGCCCGGAGCCACCGCGGCGGGGCGCTGTGGAGGGCGGCGGGGCCGGGCTCGGTTCCGGTGCCCGTTCCGGTGCCGGTGCCGGTACCGGGGGCACAGCCATGCTGAGCCGGCTGGGAGCGCTGCTGCAGCAGGCGGTGGAGACGGTGAGTGGGAACGGGAACGGGAACGGGAACGGGAACGGGGGGTTCTGAGCGTCCCTGACCCCGGCCCCGGTTGTGCGCAGCGGGAGCCCAGCGTGGACCTGCTGGAAGCCTTCACCGAGCACTGGAAGGGCATCACCGGCTACTACCTGGAGGCCACGGGTGAGTGGGGTGGGGGGAGAGGGTCCCTGTGCCCTGGGATGGGGTCTGTGTGGCGTGGGAATAAAGTCCTGTGGCGTGGGAACGGGGTCTTTGTGCCCTGGAAGGGGGTCCCCATGCCCTAAGAGGGTTCCATAGCCTAGGAATAAGGTCCCTGTGCCCAGGAGGGGGTCCTGGTGCCCTGGAATGGGACCCGTTGGACTGGGACGCATGCCCTGGTTGGCACCCTGTGCAGCAGCAGGGCACCGTGCTGATCCTAGTACAGTGCAGCTGACCTGGCGGGGGGGGCTTTGGCATGGGACACCCAGGAGGATTTATCCAGCCGGGTGCTTGGCCTTGTGCGGCCCTGACCCCCCCCCCGCACACCATTGGGGTCAGCATGAGGGATACTGTGCTCCTGGGAACACATCCCTTTGGGAACACGCTGCTTTGGGGGGCACCAAAAGCAGGGCCTGGGGAGCTCCGTCCCTTTCCACAGCAGGGTCTCAGTCGTCCCCGCTCGGCGCCCACATCCCCCCCTCCTCCCGGTGGGGGTCCGGGGCTGGCAGTGTGCAGCTCGCACCGGGACCGGCCGCTCCGTAGGCCAGGAGCGGAAGGGGAAGCCGGGAGCCCATCCACACATTGCCATCTAGCGTCGCTCCCGCCATGGAGCGGGAGTCTGGGCCGGCACGGGTTGGGAATACTGCCCCGGGTTGGGATCTGGGCCCCCCCCAGTGCATGGCTCCCGTTGCCTTGGGGGACACACACACACCACAGCGCCCAGTTCCTGCGCCCGCAGACGAGAGCATCCCGGCCAGGCAGACGGACATCCCCTGGCGCCTCAGGCAGATGCTGGACATCCTGGTCCATGAGGAGAAGCAGTTCCCAGCGGGAGAGGCCGGGCCGTGCCTCGAGTACCTGCTGCAGCACAAGGTGCTGGAGACCCTCAGCACGCTGGGCAAGGCAGAGGTGGGTGCACCAGCACGGGGGGGCTGAGCCCCCTGCACAGCAGCACCCACTGCCCTTCCCGGCTGCTTTGCATGGTGCTGCTCTGGCCCTTTGGTTTTGTAGCTCTTCCAGCTGCACAAGGGGTTTGTGGAGTGGGACCTTGGGATGCTTGGCTTTCCTAGGGGCATTGCTCAGTGTAAGATCCCCATTGGAATCCTTTCTGCTGCTCCTCCAAATGGCTCTTGCTCCCCATCCCATTCCTGCCTGCACAAGAAGGGTGTTTTTCACACCAGCAACGTGTTTGCTTCTGGACACCTCTCCAAGTAAACACTGCCCAAAACATCAGGATTACAGAACAGTCTGGGTTGGAAGGGGCCCCCGAAGGTCGTTTAGTCAAATACAGCAACTCCGATCTTCTTCTGTTGCTAATAATAAGTTGGCTCCGTATAAATAGCTTTTTATTCATACAATAGCAGCTGCTGAGCTTCAGGAACGTGCTGCTCCTTCCGTGGCTGGGAGGGTTTGGGTTTTTGGGGTGCTGGGCTTTAACATTGTAGGAAAAGGGAAATAATCCCCTTGGGATAGCTCAGTGTAGAGGAGTTCAGTTCCCAATTGCTGAAGGGAGTCAGGGGAAGGGCCGGGGGGGGGGGGGAATGGGTCCTTTTACATCATTCTGGGGGAGCAAAAGCAGGGTCTGTGCTGAGGGTGTTGGTGCAAGCCCCCTGTGCTGGCTGTTGGGTGACTCTGCGGACGAGTGGGGGTGATGACAGGGGAATTGGGGTATGCAGGCAGGTAATGGGGCCCTTGCTGATGCTTGTCCCCATCTCCCCCTCAGTACCCGCCCGGGATGAGGCAGCAAGTCCTCCTCTTCTTCAGCCGGGTGCTGGGGCAAGTGCAGCACCCGCTCCTGCACTACCTCAACGTGCACAGGCCGGTGAAGGTGAGCCCTGGACGAAGCAGCGGTGGCACCGGCGGTGGCAGTGCTGGGGCCGCCCAGATCCCTGCCCGATGCTGCTCACGGTAACGGGGCAGGGTGGGAGAGCACCCAGCACCCAGCACCCGCTCCGTGCCCCGCAGAAGCTGCTCCAGCTCAGCGGTGACCGCCTGGGCTCTGGCTTGGAGAAGGAGGAGGTGCAGTTTGCGGCCGTCCTCTGCGTGAAGATCAAGCAGGATCCCACACTGCTGATGTACATCCTGGAGGTGAGCAGCCCCTGGGCGTGTGGGGCCGTGTAGGGGGTCATCTGTGGGGTTTATGAAGCTTTTCCACACGCTTTGCAGCTCCGTCCCCGCTGCACAGCTCCTCGGGGTGAGGGGGATGCATGCGGTGGCTGTGATGCTGTTCCTCTCCAGGGCAAGAGCATCCCGAATGGGACGACAGCCCGGGAGCTGCCAGCCATGGAAGAGGGTACGGAGCATCCCTCTGGCCCTGCCACGGGCTCCCCCTGTGCCGAGCCCTCCCCACCACGGAGGGACCACAACCTCATCACATCCCTGGTGGGGCTGTGCAAGAGCAAGGTACAGAGAAAGGGCTGCAAGGAGGGGCCGTGGTGCCTGTGACCGCGTGATGCTGCCTCTCCTCCTCCTCCTCCTCACAGAAGAGCCGGGTGGCGATGAAGGCTCGGGAGAACCTGCTGCTGCTGGCAGGGCTGGCTCAGGAGGCAGCTGCCACCTGCCTGGTGCGGAGCAGTGCCCTGTGCCCGCTGCTGACCCAGCACCTCTGTGACCTGCACAGCGCCGTGCCCGCGGGCACCGACCCCGCCGACGTCCTCACCATGGAGAGGATGAGCTGGAGGTGAGGCGGGTGCTGGGTTGGGGGGGGTGTCCCCTGGCACCCTCAGGGCGCTGCTGCAGCCCCGCGTGCTGTGCCCCGCGCAGGTCGCAGGGTGCTGGGGATGCCGCGTTCCCGGGGAAGGAGAGCCTGGCTGCCTTCCTCGGCTGGCTGGATTACCTCGACGAGCTGGTGCTGTGCGCACACCCGGTAAGGAGCACCCGGCTGCTCGCTCTGAGCCGGGGCAGCGCCGTGCCGGTGCCAGGCTCAGCCCCTGCCCTCGCTGCAGGTTGTGGCAGAGGCTGTCGCCGAGGCCGTGGAGGAGACGTTCTTTCAGGGCACCCTGCGGCCGCAGCTCCTGCAGATGTGAGTGTCCGGGTGCAGGGGCTGGAGCCGGGTGAGCTCCGAGGTCCTGTCCAGAGCAAACCAGGCTGTGTTTCTGTGACCCCTGTGGGGCTGGGACCGCGGGGTCCCTGCTGCGGTGCCCCCCCAGGGCACCCTCCCGCATCCCTCCCGTCCCGCAGGTCCGAGGTCGCGGTGCTCAGCGCCACGGCCATGCTGGTGTGCACCGTGCGGCAGGTCCGAGCTCCCGCCCTGCTCCGGCACCTCGTGCTCTTCCTGCTGGGGCCAGACCAGCACCCAGAGACCCCGGGGGATGCCCCCCACTCCCTGCGCACCCACCTCATCGACCGCTGCAACCACCTCTGCGACGAGGTGAGCCCCATCCTGCTGGGGCGCGGGCGGTGCCGTGGGGCTGTGCCGACGTCCCCTTTGCTCCTCACGCCCCAGATCAGCCTGGCCAGCCTGCGGCTCTTCGAGCAGCTCCTGCAGAAGCCCCACGAGCACATCACACACAACCTGGTGCTGCGGAACCTGGAGGCCAGGGGGTACCTGCAGCGAACCCCCCTTGTGCCCGAGGAGCGCGGAGCCCCCGAGCTGGAGCACGAGGAGGATGGGCTGTGAGTGAAGGGGAGCGGGGCAGGGTAAGGTGCGAGCCCCGCTCCGCCCACCCTGCTGACACCCCTGTGCTGGCCCCGCAGCGACCTGGAGGAGGATCCGTACTTCACCGATGGATTCCCAGGTTCCAGCTTTGGGATGGTGAAAAAGCTTCCCTCAGGATCAGCCCCATCAGGGAAGGGGCAAGTGAGCGAGGTGGTGAGCAGGTAGGGATTCCCAGGGGTTCTCCCAGCATGGGGGGCCTGCATCCTTCTCCCCATCCCTCTCCCATCACTTCCAGCTTCCTCTGCCTGGTTCCCGAGGAGGCAAAGACCTCCTCGTGCATGGAGGAAGGCGGCTACGACACCTACGTGCACGATGCGCTGGCAATGGTGAGTGTCTGGGGGGGCCCATGCCTGGAAGTGCTGTCCCCACTCTGGATCCCACCCAGCATCACCCCCCCCACCAGGTCCAGGCGTGCCGAGACAGCGTAGCCCCGTGGGGGTGGCCCGGGGCCCCCAGTCCCCTCGACTCCTGCCACCCCGAAGTGGTGTTTTATGAAGGTCACTTCCTCAAGGTGCTGTTTGACCGGATGGCGCGGATCCTGGACCAGGTAGAGGGTGCCAGCAGGATGCTGGGGGTGGATCTGGTCCCCACCATGCCCTGCGTGTCCTGTGGGGGTTCTCCAAAGGGCTCTCCAGGCTGATGGAGCCTCTGTCTTGGCTGGGGTTGGGGGTTGAAGAGAAGATGCTTTGGCTGTTGCCATGGAAACCACGTTG